GCAGTCAGGATGGAGAAACTGTGGCACTGAGTTCTGACCTGTGTGCAGCTCTCCTGCTGGGGAAGAGAGCTGAGCCGTCAGCAGGTACCATCAGGTGTGCTCACAGAGGGACTGCCAGCTCCACCATGGGACACATGGCTGAGGACCCGTTAACTAGCAAAAACCATGAAATGAAGGAAACAAAAGAAAATCATCAACCCTGGTGTTGGGGGTATGGCTCAGTTGTTAGGTCGTTATTCAATGAGAGAACCCATCAGGTTCTGACTTTGAATCCCAGTCATGGATCCAAAAGAGAAAAGGAAATTGAGGCATGACTCAAATGGTAGAGAACCAGCCTTGAGTGAGAAAGCAGAGGGAGAGGGCAAGGTCCCTGTTTGTGCAAAAGTGCACAATAAAAACGCTTATAAACACATGAGAGATACCAGTGTTGGGGGCCAAGCTGGGTCATGTAAAGCAGGCAGGCTGACAGTGAGAATGTAAATAAGAACGTGACTGGAAATTATACCACGGTCCATGAGCACAAAAACACAGAAATGCCATCGATTCCAAACTCCAGTAATGTCCAGTGGCACATTTCCTTCTTATCTTCAGTTGCTGTGGCATTGTTTACATCAGCAAGCCAGGAGATTAACCCAGGTGTCCATGAGAGAAGGAATGGAGAAAGGAAATGTGGTGTCTTTGCAAAACAGGAGATTGTTCATCCATGGAAGGGAGGAAGTCCTGGCATTTGTGACAACATAGATGACTCTGGGGAGTTCACGGGAAGTGTGGTAATGCAGCACAGAAAGACAAAGGAGGGATTTTGACACCTGTGTGATCTGTATTTGTGAAAACATGTAAGTCAGCAGACCACAAGCAACCTCACTGTCAAAGAATGGAACCTGTGCGTGGTGTACGATCCTTAGCTCTGGGTTGACAACCGTTCCACAGCATTTGTGTGCATTGTCACGTTGCACTCTAAGTGTGAATGTGCATCGTTTTAATTGTCAATGTTATGTCAAGGAAGTAGAAAAAATTACAAAACTTTCCGACCTTGAGAACTTTTAGCAAAGTGGTGAGAAGGACACCAAACGTCACCATCTCAGCAAGAGCAGGGCACCATCGCCCTCCCTCCCTCCTTCCAGAACCCGACTCTCACAGGGGCTCGGTCATCCGGAGCATGTGGGCTGAGCCCTCTCCTGAGCAGGGCCTAGACACCAGCAGCCCCTCCACAAGGTGAGCCTTAACTTTCCCGATGCTCTTCCTGATCTGTTATTTGAACTGACACTAAACAGAGTGGGCAGCCTGTCAGGTTTAGTGCATGTACCTGTTGTATACTGTTTAGATCCTGTTAAACACAGTTATATCCTCAAGGACTTATCAATTCTTAATGGTGTTTTGTCTGGGTTCTGGAAGGTTCAGTCCAGAGTAGTCATTTATGTCCACACATGTTGCAATATGCAGTGCCTGGGGACAGGACAGTAATGGACACAGGTCTGGAATCAGGTCTGGGGTGCCTGAGGCCTGAAGCCTTCCACCAGCTTCAGGTGCCCTGGGGCCATTTTACAAGGTATTTATTGAGTAGGGTGCAGGGCGTACCTCAGAGAGTGAAGTCACAATGTCCCTAAAGTCACAAGAACCAACCAAGTGGTATAATCACACTCCAGTGATAATGACTTCTTTATCTTAAGAAGCCAAAGTAAGCAGTAATTGAGTCTTCTCTAGCCAAGGTGCCAGAAAGCCCAGTGTGAAATTAGCTTACACCAGCATAGAAATCTTCATTCCCATCAAGTCAGGACCGAGTGACCTTTTCAGGAAAGTCTCAGTGCTCTGAGGGTTCATGTGGGAGGTGGCAATGCATCCTCCCTATCCTTTTGGGTCTCAGAGCTTGAGTTTCGGGGGCTCTCACGAGATAGCAATGACGTTATATGCCCTTAATATTGAAATTCCATTTCTGTGTGCAATACTTCAGTAGCAGATAAACATTGGAAAGACCCACACAATGCAATCGTCATTTCAGCTGATATGGTGGAAGGATGACACTGATAATGCCTGGAAGCCTGGAACTGTCAAAGTACGGGGCAGTGGGTTTGCTGGTGCGTCCAAAGGCTCAGTGGACGTCTGCCTACCAGCCCGGAAATTAAAACCCAGAAATGAACAGACAATCACCCAACATCCAGGAGGCTGTGCAGGGATCTTCAGGAGGATGAGGAAATCTATAGACTCAGGGAGAACAGGGAGAACGAGATTGACACCATTAACCCTGGGGCAAATAAGGAAGCATTCTCTAGAAGCTGGAGGAGCTTATAGGAGAATGGAGAGGAAATCAACAGGAAGAATCTGTACCCATGGTGGTGGTATTCACACTGCTAATGTCTGTGTGGGGGCTCCTATGCTGGGTAAACTGTTGTATGGAAATGTGGTGTGGTATGTAACAACTCAGCGTTGAGCTTGAGGAAGGCTTTGCCATCCTGGAGGCCAAAATCTGAATTCCACAGCTTGGTGTCTTTACTGCAGTGTCCACAGTCACCATGGCTGCGGCACAAACAGGCACCAGGATCCCAGGCCAGCAGAGCACTGCACCCCTCCTGCTCCACACACGCACAGCAGATACCTGGAGGGTGCTGTCTCCTGGTGAGGAGAAGGGTTTGTGATTCCACAGGATGAAACCTTCACAGGTGGAAGACGCCTTTCCTAAGCCCATGGAGTTCAGACAAAATCCCTCCTCAAGAAATGAGCCTTGTTCCTTCCTGGTAATGGTGTGGTGAGGGAATAGGGCGAGATTTGTCTTTGTCTCAGGGAGGGGAGTGTGAAAGGAGAGTGAGGAGCAGGACAGGGGCCAGGACGCGGGGCAGAGGCCTTGGGAGGCAGCTCTGCTCAGCACAAGGTTCAGGGTGAGCAGCAGTGCCCGGACAGTGCACAAAACCAGGACTCACGGACACCTGCCCTCGGTCCTGGAGAGTGCACTAAGCCAGGACTCACGGACACCTGCCCTTGTTCCCAGGCCTCACAGCACAACCAACCTTTCCATGTTTACATTTCTCCAGAGCCGTGGACGGTGGAGGTGAAACCATGTGGACAGAGTGGACAAGGCTGAGTTCTGCATTCCTCTCCCTCAACTCCTGGTCAGCCTCCCTCCAGACCTGACATCCACCTCCATTCCCACAGAAGGCCTGCTGAGAGGCAGCAGGAGAGGGCTGATGCACGCAGGCTGAGACGTGGCACCGGCACGTTCCCCAGGTCTGCAGAAGCCCCGGCCTGAGCAACACCTGACCCCAGGTCCCCACCTGACCTGGGGTTCAGTCCACACCTTACAACCTCCATTTCTGGCTGACCTAGAAAAGAACACACACGGAG